AGCTGTGGTTTTCAGTCCAGTGGTACTTGACTGGTTTCTGGTGATGTTTTCTGTTCCTCCCATCTGTTAGAGTTGACATTGCCATACCTGCATGCCTGTGGACTGCTGTCTGAATTCTGCTACGTTGCCCCGGTTCTGGATCAGCTAAATGTAGTGACCTGGCCACTCATAACACCAGATTTTTATTCTCAGTTTCTGTTTCAAACATTGGGCCAGTGCGTACCCTTTCCTCCGTACGGGCACAAGTAAAACTCTCATTTCTTTCTTTATTGAACATGTAAATCAATAGACAAATTAAAGTATTCAAAAAGAAACCCATACATATGTATATGCATATATAAATGTAGTACATGTTCAATAGGAAGGAAAGAAGCTCTGGTAGCTTATATAATCCCCCCCATATCAAATTTCAAGGACGATAAAACAAAAAAATTATTTTAAATGGTAAATGGCCTGTATTTGATATAGCACCTTCCAGAGTCCTGGAACCCCCCAAGGCGCTTTACAACACAACCAGTCATTCACACATTCACACACACATTCACACACTGGTGGGGATGAGCTACGATGTAGCAACAGCTGCCCTGGGGTGCACTGACAGAGGGGAGGCTGCCGAGCACTGGCGCCACCGGTCCCTCCGACCACCACCATTTTCCCTACACTGAGTGTCATTGCCATTTTCTTATAACATGTTTTATCCTCAATCACACAAACAAAATTTACATTTTTTTGTTTCACCCCCCCCCCCTTCCAATATTCACAGCTCCCAGTTCACCAACAATAGACAATTACAATCAAATGCAACACCCTTACAACTTTCCTCCTCCATGTAATTAATTATTATAATTTTTTTATACTTCTCTTTAAACTCATGCAATGAGGGACTTTGCTTTAGATCCCCACTTAGCTTATTCCAAACTTTTACACCTGTAACAGAAATACAAAATGACTTTAATGTTGTTCTAAAATATGTATGCCTAAAGTTAAGTTTGTATCTGAAATTATATACGTGATCTGGTTTTATAAATAGCATTAATAATTTGTTTGGTAATAATTTCCTATGCACTTTATACATGAACGTCGCTGTATATAGTTGAAGTAAATCTTTAAATTTTAGTATTTTAGAATATATAAATAACGGATTAGTGTGTTCTCTAAAGCTAACATTGTGAACGACTCTCAGGGCTCTTTTCTGTATGACAGACAAGGGTACAATAGATGTTTTATAAGTGTTACCCCATACCTCTACACAGTAAATAAGAAAGGGATAAATCAATGAATAATAAAGGACATGGAGTGATTTATAATCCAAGTACTGCCAAGCTTTATTCATAATGTAGATGCTTCTCGCAACCTTATTATATACATGTTTAATTTGTGGTTTCCAACTTAATTTATTATCTATTATTATTCCAGGGAACTTATGTTCTGTTACTAGCTCAATTTCACAGCCATCTATTTGCAGTTTAACCTCAGTTTTATTAGCCATACCAAACAACATACATTTTGTTTTTGCTATATTTAATGTAAGCTTATTTTCGATAAACCACTCCTTAATGATACACATTTCAATTTGGACCATCCTTTCTAAGTCGCTAATATTATCTCCTGCACAGAAAATAGTGGTATCATCGGCAAACAAAACAAATGTCAGTGTATTTGTTACATTACTCAAATCATCAATACATAATAAAAATAATTTTGGACCGAACACAGACCCCTGTGGTACTCCACAAACAATGTCCAACCATGAAGATGAACATTCTCCAAATTCACAAACTGTCTCCTCTGCTGTAGATAGCTTGTCAACCAGCTCAACTCTACACCCCTAATCCCATACTGCTCTACCTTTTCAAGTAACATTTTATGATTAACTGTATCAAAAGCCTTTTTAAATCAATAAATATCCCTAGAACATGTTTCTTCTGATCAATTGACGTTGTAATTTCTTCCACAGAATGCACCAGAGCTAGTGATGTTGAACTATTCGGTCTAAATCCATACTGACAGTCTGATATTATCTTGTATTTATTAAAAAATATTTTGAGTTGGTTATTAAACAATTTTTCAAGAATCTTGGAAAATTATGGAAGCAACTTTCATTTATTTTGGGAATACACCTGACTGAAAAGACAAATTGCAAATATATGCAAGTGGTTTTGAAATCCCTTCTATTACCTTTTTTACCGTCATCATGTCAATGCCATGATTGTCAGTTGATGTTTTACCTTTACATGTTTTTACCATTTGTATTATTTCTTGTTCCTCTACAGCTGAAAGAAACATGGAATGAGGATTAGCTTTAATTTTTTTAAGAATGGTGTATGCGATGTTCAAGCGCTAGATATGTTTTCTGCCAATGACGGCCCTATATTTACAAAGAATTTATTAAAGCTATCAGCCACATCACCATAATTGTACTTTACAATACTGTTTTCAACAAAATATTTAGGAAATTTATCATTACCTAAATTTGGTCGAACTACATTATTTAATATTTTCCACACTTCTCTAATATCATGTTTAGCATTATTCAAACTTTTATAATAATACTCCCTTTTACATATTCTTATTATATTGGTAAGCTTATTCTTATATATTTTATATTTATGTTCAGCTTCTGGAGTTTTTTTATTTATAAACAACCTGTACAATTTTTTTTTCTTTTTGCAGGCACACTTTATCCCCTTCGTCATCCATGGTTGATTATCCCTTTTTTGAGCTACTAAATTTTGTTAAAGGACAATTCTTATCATACAATGACATAAATATTCTTACAAAGGTCTCATAAGCCTCGTCAACATCAGTTTGCTGGTACACTTCCTCCCATGTCTGTCTTATCAATTCGTTCTTCAAGGCATTAGTTGTATTAACTGTTCGTATACGTCTGTACCTTATACTATTACCTGGATTATTATTCCTATAATTATCATCATAATTTATAAAAATTGGTAAGTGGTCAGTAATATCATTAACTAAGAGGCCACTTATTATATTATTCTCTATGTTATTTGTTAGTATATTATCAAGTAATGTTGCACAGTGTGAAGTTACTCTAGTTGGTTTAGTAATTGTCGGGTAAAGGCTTAAACTATATGCTGTATCAATAAATTCATCTGTTTGCTTCAATTTGTTAGGATTTAGGAGATCAATGTTAAAGTCACCACAAATGAAGATTGTCTTCTGAAGTGTTGAATAGGTTCCTTCAAACCATTTTAAAAAGGCATGCACATCAGACCCAGGTGCCCTGTATACACAACTGACAACAATGTTTTTCATATTAGACTTTGATATTTTTATAGATTTACACTCTAATAAATTATCAACTGAAAATGACATTTTTTTTACAACTTTGTAATATAAATTCTTATCAACATATAGTGCAACACCTCCTCCACTCTTATTTTGTCTATTAATATAACTGGCTTCATAGCCATCCAGTTCAAAGCTATGGTCACAATCATCCTTCCGCCATGTTTCTGATATTGCTATTACGCTGAATGTGCCATTGATGTCATCCAAATATTCTTTAATTCTATTAAAATTTGCATGAATACTCCTACTGTTAAAGTGAATTACTGAAAACTTGTCCTCAGCCTTTATAAGCTGGTTAAACCGATCATCTGAGTAATACTTGCTACAACAAGAGATCCTTGAAAGAAAATTAGTTTCCGGATCCAAGTCACTTTCCATGTCCATAAAATTGTATTCAGTGTACTGAAAAATCTCAAAATCTGTATCCTGACTATCCAGATTAACATGATCAGAGTTAGTAACTGTTGAATCAGTTGATTGTGAGTCCACCATAAGATTTATCTCAGTTTGTATGTCATCATACCTCCATTGGTTTAATACTTGTCCAACTCCTCCATATTCCTGATATGCAACACCTTCGCTTGTTCAGGAGTTCCCTTCAGTTTGATATATATTTTACAGTTTGAAGTCCATGTATGTTGAATTTTTCCTTCTTTTTTGAGGTATCTAGCCTTTCTTGCAATATCTGCGTTCTGTTTTGTGAGATGATCGTTCATGTAGACATTGGTTCCTTTCAGCTTTTTACCTTGTTTGATGAGAGCCATTTTGTGCTTCCTATTGGCAAATCTTATTATCACAGCTTGTTTTTCACTGTTACTCCTTCGAGACAGCAGGTGACATGCTTCAATGTTGCAAGAGTCCACTTCAACAGCCTTCGTCTTGAGGAAGGTAACCACCTGTTGTTCCACAGAAGTATTTTCTTCCTCATCAGGCTGTTGACCATTATTGGTATTAGCTACTGCTCGGGCGTATGTTTGGGGTTTAATCCGTAAACCACTGACAATGACATCATTAAGTCTGGTGTACTGCTCCAATTCCGCCACTTTTGTCTCTAACAACAGACGCTTATCTTTTTCAGCATTCTGCAGGTGGAGAGTCTTTACTTCCTCCACTAAGTTCAAAATGGTAATCTGCTGCTTTCTGATAGTAGAAATTTCCTCTGTCATAAATTCCAGGGATTTTTTAATGTCATCTCCTTCCTCAGCTGTGATTCCTTTCTTTGACCCCATGTTGGATCAAGCTGGCACCTGGTGTAGCCAAAAACCTCTTGCCCACACAGTGGCTGGTAGGTGGACTGTGGCCTGGAGCTTCTGGCTCCGACAGGGAGACGATCTTCTGATCACAGTAAAACAAAAAGCTCAGCTCATAACTCTCCATTATGTCCACACAGCTGACATACAACTGAGTCTGGGTTTATAAATAGCCAAACATGCTGGCTCTATCAGATTCACAATGTTTTCTTCTGCTTATTCAGGTCATGAGGGTGGTGCTACACTCATGACCCATCTCCCTGCCAACCTCCGCCAGCTCCAGAGGTGGGACCCCAAAACGTTTCCTAGAGATTTAATCCCTCCAGCGTGTCCTGGGTCAACTCGGGTCTTCCAACCAGTGGGACACGTCTCCTGGGAAGCGTGCACAGCAACATTTCCTGTTTGGTGTTTATGACTTGCTTTGTGTTGACTCACCCCTTCCGTAGCTTGGTGTGGACTGCTGCTTACACAGAGACTTGTCGCTTTTCTTCATTTTGACCGACCTGAAAGAAACAAAGCTGAGTCAGTTTTACATGATGCAGACTTTAAAAATATTTGTACTTAAATTTGTTTTCTTTTTCTTTTCTTCTTTTTTTTGTACAATGATTTTATAAAAAATCATTTACAGACACTTCAATTACAGCATTCATACTCTAGGCCAGGACTATTCAATTCCGGGCCTCGAGGTCCGGTATCCAGCACGTCTTGGTCTTAACTCTGCTTAAACTCACTTGATTTCAATTAGCAGGTGATTAACAGGCTTCTGCAGAGCCTGATGAGCTGCTGCACAGGTGATTCAACCACTGAATCTAGTGTGTTGGAACAGACAAACCACTAAAACATGCTGGATACCGGCCATCGAAGCCCAGAACTGAATAGTCCTACTGTTAGTGATAAAAATAACATATGCAGCTGGACCAGGGCCCACGGGTCAACTACATCTGAAGCATTAGGTTCAGAGGAGCTGCCGGGGGGTATTTTTTTGGAGACAGAGAGGATCTCAGGTTGGAATTGAAGATTCATCTGACGAGCCTGCAGCCTGCTAAGAGAATTTGCGAATCTTTTGTTATATTGAGAAATAAATGTTTCAGCCTCCTTATCTCACTGGAGCCATACCAATCTTAATCTTTCTTGTTGTTCTCTTGGGATATTAATATAAAGGCGGATAAAGAGGAGGGGTAGATAGTGAAGAAGAAACTGGATGTTTAACGTTAAAGACTTCTTTAGCAGAAACGCTTCCACTAAATTATTCCAAACACAGTGTTTTGTTGCCTTGAAAAAAAGGGGAATTTGCACCCTCTGCTGGCAAAAAAGAACTACACGCTAGTTTCAAACAACATTTCGAAAAAATGGGAAGATGGGGAATTGCTGCCCTCCAGTGTCTGAAACTGGTACTACAATTTAAATCATTTTATCAATTTAGAGACTATTTAGCCCTATCTTATTAAAGCTTTTAAAATGTAAATCTGTTTTGCAGCTAGCTGCTATTAGCTCTATCTGTGACTTCTTCATTTAATTTTGTTTAACACAGATAATATAAATAGATTTCATGATTTTAAACTGTTAAGTAGTTTGTATAAGCAAAGACATCCTGGTGTTCTACTTATTTATATTATGATGTTAACACTAATTTAAAACTAGCAGTACTTTTATGTGGCATATTTATTTTGAAAGAATTGACAGGAAGTTATGTTGAGTTGGTTTTGTGTTGTTTAGCTTTATGAACGCAGCCCCTTGTAGTTTTGGTCCAGCAGAGGGCAGAAAAAATACTTAATCTAAAAAAACATGAGTATTGGGATTTTTGTGTTTCCTCCAGTTGACCCGAGTTGACCTAAACAATACATATACAGTAGACAGTGTGGCCTTCAATCAAACCAAATGTCAAATTACAAGTAACTAAATAAAAATAACACAGTAGTTAATCATTAAAACAATACAGTAGGTTGAAATGTTACATTTAAAAACAAAAATACAGCTAACCTCCCCTGCTTCAAAAATGGTTTGACCCTGATGACCTTTCCCATCTGAGCGCTCTGTGCCTCCTGAGTGGCTGATATGCTGCAACCAGGGTAGCCAAGATTCCTGCTTCGTGCTGAACAGTCTCGCATTTCTATTGCTTTTCACATGTCCTGCAAATTGAGACACTGTCCCGCATTTTTGACAGTCTCCTGTTTGTGTTTAAATCTTGCACGAACTGGTTGTGTGGTGGAAGCACGTGCTGTCAATCAAACTAGGAGGCAACACTTTAAAACCGGTCTGGAGTCCACACAAACCACCAAAACAAAAGGAAACAACAGAGTGAGCACTGAGGACAGAAAGGTGAGCGCGGTGTAGAAAATGCTGTAACAATAAAGGCTGAAGGTGTTTACTCGTGGGTTAAAGCTTGTGAGGGTGACTCTGACAGTCACACGTTGATCACAAGCAGGCTCCTCGGTGACTGGACAGGTTGGTGTTGAAGTCCAGAGATGTTTAGGTGCTGGGGTTCTGTTTCATACAAGCCAGACCTTTTAAAGCACATTTCAGAACAGTTGAAATAACTGAATTAAAGCTTTGAGGACTTATTCTGAGACCTCAGAGAAAAATGCTGAATAGATTTGACTTTTTTCTGGTGCTGCTGTAAAACTGCAACATCTGGACCAGTGGTTACCAACCTGGGGTCTGTGACCTGCCAAGGGTGTTTCCACAAAAGTGCCTGTGCTGAGATTGTGAGATTATCAGCATTATATTTGTAGAAATGGCATTTATAATGAACACACCCAATCGTATAATCAAACCCTGTATAAGATGTATGAGTCTGCTATTCATCCATCTCTTCAGAGGGCTGGGCACTACCACTCTGGAGTTGCCCCGACCGAGAGGCGCCAAGCAGGGGTGGGCATACAAGTTGTCCCCCATCTTGCTGCTGTACGTTGGGGTTTACCCCTGTAAACGAGAAGGTACCTTCCCTCCGCCCGACGTGTGGGGGGAGGGGTCCTACGTGTTGTCTGTGCTTGGGTACAAAACTGCAGCTCAGCCAGCCCACTCTTTTTGGAGACCTTGGAGGGAGTGCTGGACAGAGCTTCTTCCAGTGACTCCCTCGTTCTGCTGGGGGACTTTAACGCTCACGTGGGCAACAACAGTGAGACCTGGAGGGGTGTGTATGGGAGGCACCCCCCCCCCCCAGTCTGAATCTGAGTGGTGTTTTGTTATTGGACTTCTGTGCCAGTCATGGATTGTCCATAATGAACACCACGCTCAGACATAAAGGTGTCCATATGTGCTCTTGGCACCAGGATACCTTAGGCCGCAGCTCGATGATGGACTTTGTTGTCATTTCATCTGACCTGCGGCTGCGTGTCTTGGACACTCGGGTGAAGAGAGGGGCGGAGCTGTCAACTGACCACTACCTGGTGGTGAGTTGGCTCAGATGGTGGGGGAGGATGCCGGTCAGACCTGGCAGGCGTGAATGTTTTGTGAGGGTCAACGCCTAAAGATTCCCCTCTCAGTTTAGGCTGCTGCCCCGCAACCCGACTCCGGATGAGCGGCTGAAAATGGATGAATGGATGGAGGTTGAAACCTCTGACCTTGACTCTTTAAACTTGGACCAGATTATATTACACTGACAGCAGAATCTGTTAAACCCAGGTTGTGATTTATAATACCACAGTTTGATTTGTGAAAACAGTGTTTTTCTTTTCTTTCACAAATGAAATTGTGTGAAAATGTACAAAATGTTGAAACTCATCTTGTCTGGCCGAGCAGCTCTCTTGGTGCTCAGCACCCCTAAACCTCGGTAGCAGGGCTAGTACCTTCATCATAAATCTGTCCACCGCCCTCTGCTGTAGAATCTGCAGATGGTACAGCCCAATTGGATTTCTGTTATACCGTTTTATGAATACATAATAAGTAACACTGATTATTGTGTTGTTATAGTAACACAAAATGATAAATAGTTCCTTTTTTAAAGCTAAATGTTCCATAAACAGTTCAGGCTTTAAAGGGTTCATAAATACAACTTTGGTAAAGTAACACAAGGTGGTTAGTGTCAACATCCACATTGCACTAATATTTTAATAAAGCTGTTTCAAAATTAAAGGTCAGGCAATTCTTCAAGGCACCCCTGCCTTTCAGGCGCTTCAGTTCACATAAAAACGGGAAACAGGCGATGAGTAAACACATGCAACATTTCTTCATTTGTTCTAACCGCTTCTCGAAAAACCTGAGAAATCCTCCAACGTAGTGTTTGGGCTGAACTCAGTTAAACCCACCAACAGTCTCAAGAAAGAAGTTAAGAACTTCTTAAGAAGTTCTGACGTGCTCACATGAAACAGGAGGAGTCTCTGGATCTCAATCACCTCCTTATTTGGGCAGGAGGGGATAAGGTCACAGAAGTCCACGTGGAGTTAAGATGGGTCTGAATTTGGACTTCTGCTGAGTTTTGTTTCTGTCCAATTAAAAGAAGGAACTATCGACACATTCTTGTTCTCTATTGATGTGGCTGGGTTTCGGAAAACCCAGGTGTCTGTACTAAAACAGCAGGTCGCATTGTTTGAGCGAGGGAACTATGGTGTTTGACAAAGTCTCACTGGGACCTCCCTGCTGGCTTTAAAAGTTTCCTGTTTGTTTGTTTTTTTGGGCTCCTTGAAGCTCTGTTGTGGTGTGATGAATGTTGTCTCTGACAAAAACCTTCTGATAATACTGAGCTAAGGACATGTACTGTTGGTCAGGGCCTTAAGCAGGTTGTATTAATTCAGCTGGATTAGAAATGACACAGAGCTGTTCAGCTATATCTTGAGTCAACGTGTAGCTTCAGTGAGACGTTAGAAATAGTGCCCATAACTCGAGAGTTCTACTCATTATCTGGTGCTAAACATGACTATGTAGCATACCCCCCAATGAAGGATGACACTTTACTGATGACGTTTTGGATTTAATGACGATGACCCTCAATTTCACCGTAAGAGATGGAGATGTGTACAAAAAACCATGTAAACAGATCCACACTCTTACAATTAATTCAGATTCAGATTTATTGGCCAAGTAAAATTACATTTACAAGGAATGCAGCTTCGGTAGATGTTCGCTCTCTAAAACATACAACAACTACAATAAATGAGAATAAAAATACATAAAAAACACATGAGAATATGTGTACCCACACACATGTACATTTACACACACACATATATACATATATGCATACACATACCAGAGGTGGAAAGTAATGAATTACATTTACTTGCGTTACTGTAATTGAGTAGATTTTTTGCGCATTTATACTTTTTAAGTAGTTTTTTAAATCTGTAATTTTACTTTTACTTAAGTAATGTTTTTTTGTAAGTATTGTACTTCGCTACATTTTTTATCTTATTCGTTACCGAGTAAATGTCGGCACGGTTCGCACTGGATTCAGACACAACCACAGAGACGAGAGTATAAACACATACATATGTAGAAGCGTCTTAACGCACTCGAGAGTGATCCAGCGCTTAATGAAGTGTCTCTGTACATATATGTCTATACT